TGTGATTTGTAATGTTGGGTACCAAACCGGTATGCACCGGATCAAATCAGCATATGAATTTCGGTGCTGCAACAAGAACGTAAAGCAGGTCGCACACCAGAAGCGCCGCTCGGCAACGTGCAGCGCCATGCATTTTAGAATTTGCAAGTCAGCGGCTGTCTGCGACGCCCAGCTGCCACGACTCATGACTGTTAATATTTCTGCCATGCCACAGAGCGCCATCTGAATAGCATCATTTTACATATCATGTGAATGTGCACGTCTGGTGTGTGGAGCCGCGGCGCATCCACAGTGCGACGCCCTTAAGAAGCATAAAGGGGTAAATTAAAAGCACACTTGAGTAAGCGTTGTGTCGCACCATCTCTAAATGTTTAATTCTAAACAGCTTCGAGGGATATGGATGTCAGCGATGTCAGGCGTTTGTTATTGTAGCTTATAGAAGGCAAAGCGCGCAGTACGCATGATCGTCGTTCATCTAGTTTGCTTAAACTAAGCATTCTAAAGTATGGCTATATATTTTACAAGCAAGGATTCTGACACACCAACATGCAGCAGATGTTTTACAAAAGTTGCGTGTAAGGGGGAAACACACAAACCTATGAAATGTGAGGGCTCATGGAATCAACTTAAAGGTGAGGAACGGACTGTCTTTGACAGCTTGTGACATTATCTGGCACGTTGTCTAAGTACGTTTACATGGACACCAATACTTTTGAATATGATTAAGACAATACTCTGATCAAGAGTCTACCACGTTAACAGTGATTTTTGATTATCTTAAAGGACCACAGACATAAACTGCGGAGGAAACATTTCACGCAGTGACGTTATTGGATCTATGTGCTGTAACGTAACTGGGAATCTTAAATGTAGCATTAATAAAGCAGCTCATGTAAACACCTGAATCATATTATTGTCTCATTCAGATTAAGGCAAATCATTAGATCACTGATGTTCATGAAAAAGTAGTCACAAGCCCCAAACCCAGAAAAAAAAGGTGCTCCCTGATTTTGATGACAGCCTTTCCACAGGTTAGTAGTAAACTAATGTAATGTTAGTAGCATAATGCAAATCTTGCATCAATGCTAATAAACAAATGATCAAAATAAATATATTAATGCAATTTAAATAAATAAAATCTGAATTGATGTTTACTTTTAACGTATTATAAATATATATTTATATGGTTCAATTATAAAGATATATATATATATATATATATATATATATATATATATATATATATATATATATATATATATATATATATATATATATATAAAATTTTCTTTCAATTTTTTTTTTTTTTGTCGATTCATTTTGTGGCTAAAAAGTATCGGTTCAGGCACCGGTACTGTTTTAAAAGTATCGATTTAATTTAGTTCAATTCAGCTTTATTTGTATAGCGCTTTAACAATGTAGGTTTAGTCAAAGCAGCTTCACATAAATGGTCATAGTAACTGGATCAGGGTAGTTCAGTTTTTAGTGTTTAAGTTCACTTCAGTTTAGCTCAGTTCAGTGTGGTTTGAAATCATTATTGAGAGTTCAAACACTGAAGAGCAAATCCATTGATGAGTAGCTTTTCAAATCCTGAACCATGCAAGCCAGTGGCGACAGCGGAGAGCGAAAAAAAAACTTCACCAATAGGAGAGTGAAGAAAAAATACCTTGAGAGAACCAGACTCAGTTCGGCACGACCATTTTAATTTCTCCGATTTAGCACTGGTATAGAAAAAAACCCTAACGATACCCAACCCTAGTGATTTGTATTGTTCAGCACATTGGTCAAGCTTTGCTTATGTATAATAGTGTTAAAGAAATAAAATTGACATTGACATCAAACTAAAAACAGATCTCTCAACACTATTATATCAGGGTAAACTGTGCAAAGACCTCACAAGTTATGTTTTCCCAACTGTGTTTCCTGGTTTGGTGTAATGCATTGCCAACTCGACATGAGTGCAGATCCTGCGATGTGAGTGCTGAATGATATATTGTGCAGCTTCAGTCTTGATGTATAATAACTGTGATGTTAGAAAAGCTCTCTGTCAGTGCATAAAAAGTCATATTTCTGTGGCTTGATGGAGTTTCTGCTGTATAAAGCTTGTCCCGCTGGCAGTCATCCGCTTGATAGTGAGGCTTTCTGTGTGAAGCGCTTTTATAAACTTCCAAAGCACCAGAACATCATCTCTAATGATCTAGAACTAATTGAGATTTAGACATAACCAAGCTGATGTTTATGAATGCCTGCAGCGCTTGTTTCCTTGCACAAAATGATTCAAATGATCAATCTTGCTTAGGTACTCTGTGTAATTTCAGTTGAATCGTTGTTAGTTTTTCTAGGATTAATCTGGAAAGTTGATAGGAATTTTTGGTGAATACATCTGCAGCAGTAGTCTTAACTCAAAACGGTTAAATAGGGATGCACGATATATTGCTTCAGCATTGAATATTGCAGTGTACAAATAATAATTTATATTATTAATAGAGTGAACGCTCTTGAATTTGCTTGTTTGCTGGATTTCTAAGGCCTGTGACTGAAAGACTTTAAGTGCATTTGTGCATAAGGAAATAACTATTGTAGTTTTAGCAAAGATTGTATTTAATTTGCATGATGAAGAATGCAGTGCTCTTTATTTATGTTTAATTATTCAATTTCTGTGCATGAATACAGTTAGACTCTCCAGAAAACACCTTTTCATTTATGCAGATGAACTGTCCTATGAAATCATCATATTCAATTTAAAATGATGAATTATTTCCCAATACAATGATTCAAGTCACCAATCACCATGGCAGAAAGAAAAAGCATTGATGGCAAAGCCTAGTAAGAGCTTGATTAGCTAGCACAGGTGTGTCTGATTGGGGTTGGAACTAAACTTTGCAGGACACCGGCCCTCCAGGACCGTTTAGACATGCCTGCCACAGGTAGTTGGTAGATTTGTGTACAAGACCTGCCACCACAGCTGGAAAAAAGAGAGAAACGCTGTCTTCGCTTGGTCTTACGCAGCCACGTGATGTGATTTTGCAGGTTAGAGATCACCAAGCTTAAAATTTACAATGCATCGAACTGCAAAACTTGCCGCAGGAGCTTGCCTTTCCGGTGTGCTTCATTTGCATACATATGAATTAGGGCTGGGCGATTTGGCAAAAAAAAAAATCTAGGTTTTTTATAAAGTTTGACCGATTCACGATTTCGATTTTGTTTTTATTGTGTTACTAGTCTTCTCAAAACATTACAACAACATGACTGAAGTAGCATTCTCTTTAAAAGTGACTTGAAAACCCATCTGGTTAAGGAACACTGTATTGTTAATGGCCATGCCATACAAAAATCAGTCAAGGTGTAAATAAATGTAAAACAAATTCACGAGTTGAACAGCGTTGCTGAAGATTTGAATAAGAAATATTTGTGTAAATATTGCAGTTGCAGGAATTCAGAGGTATTTATTGCAAGTTTTGCTGAGTCTAGGAAAGATTGGCTGTCAGCTCGGCTTTGACTTTGTCTTCTGATTGAATGTCAGGTTGTAAAGCTGCTGCCTTTTTCTTAAAAAGATACAGTGGAAGAAAAGGACTGAACATGGAGACTGTAAAGCTTAATTTAACCCAATGTGTGGAGTTGTGGACGTATAGCAGGAGCAAATACAAGCACCAGATGTGTGTCTAATACAAAATAATATATTTAATCTATTTTTCTTTTTTCCCCCTTTTAAATAATGATCATTTCATGCGCTTTGCTCCACTCTCTGTATTATGCTGCCTGATCTGTCTGGTTTTCAACTAGGTCCGCTAAATGACGTCATGTGGGCGGCTACTTTCACTTTCACTGCTGCAGGCTCTCACCTCTACTCGTGTTCAAACCAAAAGATCGGCGCGGTTTTTCACATGGCAGGCTTTTACATCCTTAATACATGTTAAGATTGAGTTTATCGGCTTGAAGAGGGAATGTCTTGACAATCCACACAGACGTGACTCAGACTAATGCAACGAGTAAAATCCTACATGACTTCACGCTTTAACAGACAGTCAAGCAGGTCGTGCATCAGAAGTGCCGCGACACGGCGCGCACATGACAGTTTAAAACGTGCCACACCAAACGTGCACATTCGCATGATATTTAACATGAAACTAATCAGATGGCCTCTGTGGCGCGGCTGAAATATGAACTGCTTCGTGAATCATGCTGGGCGCCGCCGGTGTGTGTGTAGAAACTTGTTTAGAATTCTAAAATCCATGGCTCTGCTTGGTGCTGCACGTCGCCGTGCGGCGCTGCTGGTGTGCTTCCAGCTTCATACAGAGAGTGAACCCAATGGGGGTGCCATTATAATGTATTAAATTAATATTTTTTTCAAAAATGTCAAAATTAAATCGTCGTAAAACGTAAATGCGAATTAATCGAAAAAATCTGTAAAATCGCCCAGCCCTAATATGAATATAAGTCTATGGGAGAAAAGTGCAGTGTGACCACAGCTTAAGTCTTGTTCAGCTGTAGCATTATCAAGCGTTATTCCTGTCTAGCCTTGCTGTGCCTTTTGATCCGTGCCTTTTGATCCGTGCCTTGTTTAATTGTTTATGCTGTTTGCCACCTGCATTGACCTCTTTGCCTGTGACCACGAGTCGACAGTGCTTTTGGATTACCCCCATTACTCCAAAACAGTTTGCTCCTGTTTTGACCATTGCCTGCTTGACTAAGTGGTAAAGAAACTGCATTTGGACCCTCAACTTTGCTGTCTATGTCTATGGTCCACTATTAAAATCAAGGGAGAAATCACTAAGAGACGCACTTATATTTATTTATTATAAAACAGTTGTGGGTGCCACGGTGACTCACTGTGGCCTCACAGCAAGAAGGTCGCTGGTTCAAGTCCCGGCTGAGCCAGTTGTCACTTCTGTGTTGAGTTTGCATGTTCTCCCCATGTTGGCGGGGGTTTCCTCTGGGTGCTCCGATTTCCCTCACAGTGCAAACACATGCTGATGTGTTTGCTGTGTGTCTCTCTGCAGTCGATGCACACCTGTTGTCTGCTGTGCCACCGTGAGTTTAAGGACTGGGGGTCCGGCGGGGCAAACGGTCTGCCCGCTCACGGCTCCAGACTGGCGGAGGCGGTGCCGGCGCTCTCTCAGGCGCTGCTGCGGGACGCTCCGGGCCGGACGCTGGCGGACGCTGTGCCCTCGCTGTCGCAGTCGCTGCTGGGCGAAGTGCCGCTGTGGATCTGCCAGAGCTGCAGGAGGAGTGTGGAGGAGGAGGAGAGGAGGACGCTGCAGGAGCAGAACTCACAGGTGAGCAGAAAAGATGAGCTACACTAGTCATTGATTTGCCTTTGTGTTCACATCCTCAACAGAAATGACTGTGATTTGGCCGTGAACATCATCAGTTCACCAAACTCATCGCTGTTTACTGAGTGTAACCACAGGTACAGGGAGACTGGGGTGCTTTAAAGCCGCGATTCATCAGAGGATCTCACAGATGTTAGTTTATAGACAGCTGATCAGCATAACTTTGAAACAGGGCTGGGCTGATAAGCGATATTAGATTGAATCGTAATAATATTTTTATTAATAACAATGATAAGCTCTGGACTTTCTTTACTTTATGTAGATCTAAGAGCCAATAACATAACAGAAATGTGCAACAATGAGAGTCTTGAAGTGTGTTGACATTAGAAATGCACCGAATTAATGCACCGATAATAATCAGACCCTCTAATTTGTGTCTTCAGTCTTTGTTGGGGTACTCTTTTTAAATCTGGAAGAATTAAAACTGATATTAAAGTTTATTCAGCTGATTGGACATGATCTGAAAAGGCATAGTCCTGTCTATATAAAGGCCCAGGGTTAACAGTGCATGTTAAAGCACAAACCAAGCATGAAGACAAAGGAATTGTCTGGAGGCACAAGGCTGGGGAAGGTTACAAAAACATTTCTGCTGCTCTGAAAGTTCCAACGAGTGCTGCATTGAATAGAATAAAATGATTAAAAAGTACATTAAAGTCTATAAACTTGAAATAAAACATTCACAAAGGTGTGTCTTATGGAAAAACACTAATTGACTAGCGCTGCTTTCGCTTTTAAAAGAATCAAGCAGATTTAAAATCTAATTTGCAGAAGAGAAATGACAGGAATTTTGCAAAAGAAAAAGATTAAAGATATCAGGACTGTTAAATTATTATACTTTATTATATTCTCTCGACTTCAATACAACAGCTAAGATTATGGCTGATGGAGTGTAAAGCCCTCTCTCCTTCATGCTTCAGCAGCTCGTCCCACTGTTTATGAATGAGGAGTCGGAGAGAATGCGCTGTTTCACCTCAAGGTATTTAAGGGCGTACTCACACTATGCCATCCGTACCGTGCCCAGGCACGTTTCCCGGATCGTTTGAGAAGTGTGAGTGCGCTGAATCGGGCTCAAGCACGGTTCACTTGGCCGGCCCTGGCCCGGTTGGAAGAGGTGTGCCTGAGCGCGGATCACTTGGGCTTTGGTGCGGTACGCTTGTAGTGTGAGTGCAAAACGCGCCAAAGCCCAAAACTGAAACCGTGACGTGACTTTTAAGGGACTGTTTCATATGGATTTATTAATCATTCTTACTGTTCAGTGAACGCAACCTGCCGTAGTTTATTAAAGACGGAAACTCCTCACAGCACGCCAGCTGCGCGGCTTCAGCAGACCTCCTCATTCCTGCAGCACGAGAGCTTCATGATTGTTTATGAGCGCCAAAAGTGGCGGATCTGTTCGGCGAAATATCTGACTGCGTGTCACCGCATCCCTAAGGACTGTTTGGCGAAATATTTGATGGCATATCAAACGACTGAAACGATATAACTAGAGAAATCTCCACTGTGCTACTGGGTGAGAGCGTATGGCAAGCCGTTTTAGCATTTAAACCTTGTTCTGACTATCCATAAATATATTTAGACATATCTCTAATTATATTTTGACTAGTCATAATTATAATTCGACTAGTCAGAATGACAATTAGAGATATCTGCAATTACAATTGTACTAGTACAAAATCAGATTGGAGATATCTGCAAATATATTATGACTAGTCATATTCCTCCATTGACTTCTATTGAAAAATATTTGCAGAAATCTCTAACTGAGTTTTGACTCGTCAAAAATCCAATTCAAGATACCAACAACTGTAATTCGACTATTAGTAAATTAATTACAGATATCTTCAAATATATTTCTAAATATCTCTAAATATGACGAACTAAAGACATCTCTAAATGTATTATGACTAGTAAAAAGTCAGTTACTCAGTTTCGTACTAGTACAATTGCAATTGCAGATATCTCTAATTGTCATTCTGACAAGTTGAATTATAATTATGACTAGTCAAAATATAATTAGAGATATCTCTAAATATATTTATGGAGTCAGAACAAAGATTTAATTGCTAAAAAGGCTTGCCATAGAGAGCGCTTCTGAACAGCGCAGCAGCGATGACGTAAGCTTGCCGAGGCCCGATATGGTGTGAGCGCAGGCCGTCGGGGGAGACGGGAGGGGGGGACAAGCGTGCTTTGGCCCGGTTCGAGGCAACTGTACCTAGTGTGAGTACGGCCTAAGTAAAAACTAACACTGAGCTGCTCAAAAACTTAACAAAAATGCAACTCTTGTTGGTTGCACCCGCTGGATGCACAATGAACATAACACGCCATTCTTTTAATTCAACATTCGTGAAGTATGAACCAACCGCAGACGCTTTGTCTTGTTGGTCGCAACACTCTGCTTTATATTTTATTAGATTAGATTATTACAATAATCACACTTAGCTCTGCCATTGTTCTTCACCACATAAAGCCACTCTTTTGAGCACATGCGGTCCATCTGTAGACAAATGTTTAGATTATTATTGAAGGTCCTCACCTGTGGCGAAGTTCCCGGCAGAGTCGAGAGTGGAAAAAAATGTGCATCAGGTATCGGAACAAGTATCGGAATCTTAGTATCTAATCACCACCCTGTTTTATTACAAGTTGTGTTTTTAACGTTTAACAAAATATATATATCCATACACAAAGAAATAATCGTCATTATTAAGTGTGATTAACATTTTGAGCAAAATAATTGTGATCCGTGCAGCCCTAATGTGACTCTTTTAACACCTTTTGGAGGTGTCTATGTTGCTGAGCATTGAATATAAAATGTGAAGACTTGTGCGATCTTCACGCCCCATTCACACGGGGCTTCAGCATCAATGCTTGACAGAGGACGTGTCTGAAGTTGGGGCTGATGCGATTGTTATAACAGCGTCAGCCAATAAAATTAGTCAGCAATCGGCTACTGTCTGAGCTGGTGTATTTGCATACAGCAATCTGATTGGCTGACGCTTCCATTGGTGCTTGAAAAGTTGAACAAGTCCCAACGTCTGCAGCAAGCAGCGCCTCTGAAGCGGCGCCGACAGATCCACAGTGCAGTTCGGCAACGCCTGACGTCACCCATTTAAGGTGAATGGGAAGCTTTGAAGCTGACGCCCCGTGTGAATGGGGCGTTACGCTTCTCTCCTGACCTTGAAAATGTAATTGGCTGAATTGTAGAAAAGCTGAATTAAGATCGTGTGTAGGGTCGAATTGAGATTGTTATCTTTTTTTTTCCATTATTCGTGCAGCCCTAGAATGAATGCTAATAGTTTCCACAGAATAATCTTTTCTTCCACCTTTTTTTTTTTACATACGAAACATGCATTACAAATCTATAACATAATAACATGTTATATCATGGTTGTAAAACATATCAGTACAACCTCTTACAGTATATCGTAAGGTCAAGTGGTGTCAACGTTTCATAAACCATTGCTTATAGGTTGGCAACAATTTAATTTCCCATTTAAGCAATTTTGTCCTTCCAGCTAGAAGCATAGCAGACAATCACATTTTGCTTTCTTTTATTACACCATAAGGACAGTGGTGTAATGCTAAATATTGAAATCATGGCCTCAGCTTCTATGTAAGCTTTTAATGTGTCAGAGAGAAATTTGATGCAAGATTCTTCCAGTTTTCTGACAGCAGTATGTGTTGTCCCGCAGGTGCCGCTGTCCCACTCGTCCTCATGTAAGTCTCAGAGTTGTGGGAACGGTTATCCGGAGAACAGTTCGGTGGATTGGGATCCCAGCTCGTTTCTCTCGGCGCGCAAACTCTCCGGCCTGTGGAACTCAGCTCATTCTAATGGAGGATCGCACTGCAACCACAACCCCGCTGCGCTTTCACCCGGTAATGCTTCATCTTTCACACACCCGATTCTGGGTCACCAGAAATAATGAACTAACAATGTTGACCCATTTGCTGCATACTTTTGCTGCTTGTTTAAACTACTTACAGGGTTTTTACGCTTCTTGAAAGTACTTGAATTACAGACATGTGAATTCAAATCAATCAGATCAACATTGTGAGAGATGCAAAGAGACGCAAGTCAGAATTGCGAGAGGTCATTTTAATAATATAACCTTATTTATAAACTTTATTCCTGCTCCATTTAAATCCACACAAACATCTAATAATGTGTTGAAAGTATGCGTTTAGATCTCAGACTTCTGGCAGTTTCTTTGAGCATGAAAAAGTCAGAGGTGTGGGATATAAACTCAGGATTGCAAGGAGAAAAGGTCAGATATAAAAAGTGGCAATGGCCTCCTTTGTAATCTGTCTTCAGACCAAATCAATCTCATGCTCACTTGATTCATTTATTCGGTTCTCATCTGAGAAATAAGCAGAATAATGGACCGTCAAACGCGTGATGTGACAAAATAAACTCCTCCAGGCTGGATAAGAGGCATGCTGGCTTTCTTTAACAGGCACACAGAGCTTTAAATATAGTCTGGCTGCAGAAAAGAGCCAGAATGATGGTTATATCTCATCCTAACAGGAGGAACGTTGGGACCAGCTTGCCATGAGAAGAGGCCCTCTCATGATGCTCCGGGAAAAGCTGCCAAAACATTCGGCACTAAAGTCTGTCCCTACAGTCATCCCGCATCCCAGAATTCCAGTGCAGCTTCTCCCGGGACACTTTCTGCCTCCAGCGATGCATGCAAGACCAACCCCAAGCACTTCAAGACTATGTGTCGACGACCAACGCCTCCAGGTGAGGGCTTGTTTAAGCATTTAGCACTTTCCAAATGACCCCTGATTAAATAATCCTGTAAATTCAGTGATATGCATTAACTTTTACTACTGACATGTGTCTTTCACCTCTGTTATTCCCTTATAGAACCAGATGGTGTATTTATCTATGCAGTTGCATATTGATGCTGTGTTTATGATTAGGATATTATAGATTGCGGGTTGAAGTGTTCATTCTAGTTTTAGCGCAGTGTTGCAGTAGGAGGACTAATGGGGATGCTGTTGGATGACATGAATGCATGCACTACAGCTTTAATGTAAACCAGTGGTTCTCAAACGTTTTTCATCAAGTACCACCTCAGAAAAAAATTGTCTCTCCAAGTACCACCAAAATGAGCAGTATTGAAATACAGTAGGCCCAGTAAAGCAGCTACAACTCAGATTACATCAGAAATATAGGCTATATGTCATATATGACATATTATATACATCATTTTTGATCAATTTTGAAATGTGTGTAGCATGTACATGACAAAAATTCATTCCTCCGCGTACCACTAGAAGGAAGGCTGCGTACCACTAGTGGTACATAGGGTTGTAACGGTATGAATTTTTCACGGTATGATAATCGTCTAAAACAATACCACGGTTTGACGGTTTCGCGGTATACGGTATGTTACAAATGTTACAAAATAATAGAACAGTGAAGCAAATTTGACTTTTTCCAAATAATATATTTTTAGTTACTATAAACAACACCACTTACAATGAACAAATAAAAATAAGAAAATAATAAATAATGTGTCAAAGTCCAAATAAAGTCCAAATAAACATGGTGCAAATCCTCAGTAAAAAATAGATATAAATATTTACTATACTATAAATAGTTACATAACGAAACTAGATTCAATATGGAACATCCTTAGGTTTTATGTGCCAGCATGGATATGGTTGTCTATGGATATGGATTTGGATATGGTTGTATGCAATGCAGACAAACAGCTGCACCTTCATTTGTGTCTTTTGAAAACAGCAAGAGCAGCAGTTCGTCTTTGCTGTGTCACTGTTTTGTCATGTTTCTGTGCTGCTGTGCATGCAAAAGTACTTAGTATGAAAATTATTTCATGCAAAACTTTTTTTTTTTTGCGTTTTATTTAGCCGCGCATAAATGTATGCCTTTCTCTCATTCCGTGTTGTTCAAAAAGCTTGGTCCACAAACAAAAGCGAAACCTATGCTTATTGGTTGTGATATAGCGAGTTTGAACCAATCTGGGCATGGAGGAGGGACAATGCATCAATGTATCATGTCTGATTTGTCCAGAGACACAGTGACGAGCGTTTCTTTGTCAAATCAGCGTTGTCAAATGTTGATGACGTAACCGCACTGATTCCGGAGCCTCTGAAAGTCCGAATGTTATGTGATACAGCACTGGAAAGCTGAGATTCTCTTCTTTATGCCAATCTTTGAATTGTATGAATCGGATCAGCGGATCAAAAGTTATTAAACATTTAAGAGCAATACTTATTTTTAGCCGCGGGCGGCTGTCTCGGTCTTTAAGGGTTAAAACAGTTGATATGCAATTGTTCATGGTATGATAATCGTGCACGTTCAAATCGTGGTAAACCGTCATACCGGTATATTGTTACAACCCTAGTGGTACACGTACCACAGTTTGAGAACCACTGATGTAAACGATAACACTCAACATTTTCATATCCATACACTTACAGGTTACTTTTCCAGCTCTTCATGTTGCACTGCATTATGCAACAGCTGAAACCGTAACCAAAGTGTCAACTATGTGTCAGACCTCAATAAACAGTGCAAATGTGACTGTAAAGTGGCATAAGAGCATGTTGATGTTTACACAAACTTACATAAGATAGAATTATTATTATTAGGGGTGTCACGATTTCGATTTTTAATCGAAATCGATCGAAATTTATGCTCAATTTCGATTATCGAATCAAAAAATAGAATCGTCGATGCTGCCACGCCCCCATGTCACGTCAGCTTGGCTTGCCAAGCGGAAAAAACAGGCTTGTTAAACTGCAGACGCAGGAGACCCGTCGACAGAACTTAAACCCTCTCCTCTTTCAATGAAGTCGCCGGTGTGGAAGCATTTTGGATTTCCAGTGAGTTATGTTGACAACGTTCATGTTGTCGACAAAAAAAAACACAGTTTTGCAAGCTCTGCTATGTACGTATTACGTACGGTTCGTCCGATAGACAACACCGGCATCGTGATCCTCCGCCCGCCCCCGTTGCAAATCCGCTCGCGAAAAGTTCACACTCAGACCCTGTTTACACTGTCTTTGTTTTTAAATGGCATTTTAGAACGACAACGATTTGACATCCACAGTGGCGTGTAGCATTTCTGAGCAGCCCTCCTTCCTCTCTACCTCTGAAAATGCACATCACGTGACCACACACACACAGACGCACACACAGCCATGCGCTCGAGACAGCAGGTCCAGGCAGTCAGAGGACTGCTTCAATCTTTCACTCACTTGTACTTAGTCATTTTAGCGAACACCTCAGATACTGTTGGCTGGTTCCTGTTGGTTGTGCGTCTTTTTTACCGACGCCATTATAACGACACAGATCACTGCCTATTCACGAGTCCCGCAGAAAAAGAGATTGACAGGTGGTAATTATGTGTGTATCTTGCCTTTATTCATTTACTGTATGATTTGTTTATGGGTAAAACAAAGACCAGGCAGGTCAGGTAGTTTAAACGGTAGGCTACAAATAATTAATTGCTCATTAATTAATTAATTATTCATAATCGAAAATCGAATCGTGCCTTTAGAATCAAAAATGTAATCGAATCGAGGGTTTGGAGGATCATGACACCCTTAATTATTATTAGAACTACCGAATGCAGCAAAACTAGTAACCAAGCTGCTGATAAAAAGTCTTGATGCTTGTTGCTAGTATTCAGGTTAGTTGTGTCTGGCAGGCCACGTCATAGTATGTTCCCTAAAGCCTAGTTTACACTACAGGATTTTAAGCCTGATTTGAGCCAGATTTGGAAGTTAAGTAGCTCGCCGACGGATCGAGCTGTGATCGGGAAAAAATCTGCGGGTGCACGGCGCTCGCCAGTCTTTGTGTGAACTACTGAACAACGCGCCAACGCCTCGCAGATGGAAATCCAATATCTAGCATGCTAAATATTCCAGAGCAGTCGGCCGACTCAACCCCACATGCGGTCAGATGTAGTGACAAGCTGCAGCCAATGAGAGAGCATATCAGCATGAGCTGAATGCCTGTGTGATCAGAAGCTCAACAGAAACATCTGTGATTGGTCAGAATGGGCATCGGTGCACTCGCTTCATTCTGCGCTACCACAGACATGAGAGGAGGCTATAATAACAGTGGAGCTAGAATTCTGTAACTATTAGAATTACCATACTGCTCATTCTGACCGTTCGCATATAAAACGCCATACTGTCACAGCATATTTACATTCAAAGCTATTATTGAGATATTAAAATTAAGCTTTGAATATCTGGCATCATATTTAATGACACCATTACCCTAAAAATATCATCTTTTTTTGGTAATACAGCTTATAAATATGTAGTTAAGATACCAAAACACTTAAAGGTCTTGGCTTTCATTTTCACTTTCAAACAGGAGCTGTTACACAGCACAGAATTTTCAGTTTTGAAAGATATCTGAAGTAAATTGATGTTTTTGCCATCAGAAAGTTTTGTTTATGTTAGCAGGAAGTTGCCAGGCAAGAAAATACACACATATTTAAAGTCACAGCGAAAAGTATCAGACATGCATGCAGTCATTTTGACCAATATGGTAATTTAAAGCAGAAATGCTCAGTTCTTTACTGTTTTGTAATTAAAAAAATAACAATGTTAGAAAGAAATACACTGATATTTAGGAAACGGCAGGGTGATAGATATGTTAGTTTTATTTCAAAGAGTTTTAAAATTACAAAAATTAAAAACTCTCTGTGTATCTATCCACTCAAACCTTGCAGATGAGTGATTGCTGATGCATCAGCTGATTGACGATGTTTTTAAATGCTTCCTCGAATGCTTGAGTGCATCGTCTCCTTAAATACCGTGGCTGGAATGATATCACATGAAGAACCAGAAGGCTTTATATGTGCAACAATGTCAGTAAGTTGTGACAGAGACACAGGAATAAAGCTGGTTCGATTTTTTTCAAGGGGGCAACAGAAATTGTAAGAGCATTGATTACAAGTCTGAGAACAAATTCCAACAATCTTATCAGCAAAAAAAATGCGGAATTTTTGAGATGGGTCTGGCTGCAGACCTGGTGCAGTGCAATCTGAGCTGCATCCAATGCTTTTTAATGCGCTCACCTAACCCCGCCCCTAACCCTACCCATCACAGTGACATCACTCGCTCTATTGAGTGCATTGAGTCTGACATTGCATCGCTGAGTGATGCAGTCTCAGCTTGCATCATAAAGGCTGCATCCAGATACTATTGGAATTTTTTTCACAGGTGTCAACAGAAGAAAAAAATTGATGGAGAAACAACAGTCTGAAGTATGGTGGTGCTAATAGTAGAGAAAAGTATTTCAGAATTATTAAAAAAATGAAATAAAAACAAATAAAAATCAGGAGGAAAATGTTAAATGTTAAATGTTTGTTGTTTTAAATTAAAAATAAATTTAGAAACCACTACTTTATTGTGTGTGTGTGTGTGTGTGTGTGTGTGTGTGTGTGTGTGTGCGTGTGTGTGTGTGTGTGTGTGTGTTTTCCACACTAACTTTATCTGATTTGATGTTGTAAATAAAATGACGATTTTGTGACGAATAATTTCACGTAACCCAAATGCGTGTTTGTCCACAGGTGAAGCGTTCCACCCAAACGACCACCACCAGTCTGCAGACCTGTCAGTGCCGCCCAACAGTCCGACGGGTTTGTCTTCCCAGCATTCCTCACTGCTGCCTCCCAAGCAGAACTCCAGTCAGCATGTGCACGTCGGCTCTGCTAATTCGGGACTGCCTTCGCACGCTCCCTTTTCCCCGCTGGTACCAAACATTCACGCTCCCACAGCCAAGCACTCGAGCGGGCCGGACAGTCCGGTGGCCCTACACAAGCCCAGCGCCTGCAAGAACGCACACATTCCCGCTGTTAACTCGCAACACGGCAAACTTAGCAACTCGCTTATAGGATGCAGTCACCCGTGCAACGGACACAGTAACGGCAGCTCTGTAGCATCACCCAATGCTGGACACGTGACGCCTGGAGCCTGCAGGTGAGCACGGACTCTGTTCGGTGTGATGTAACCTGTGTGTACTGTTCAGCTTGACTCCCCTTTGGTTATGTTGGGGGCTGTTTTTGCCCCATTGACCCTCATTATAATCTCATTTATTGATCGCAAAGCCATGACCGCATATAATCATGCATGAGGTAGACATTTTTAGCAGCATTAACCCTTTAGATAGGCCTGTGAAGAAGAGTTTCTGGCTTTTATATGAGTTCTGTGGAGTAAAACCGCAGATTATAGTGTGTCCAAACACTCCAAAGCTAGAAACTAATCTTTTTTTGTGCACTGCAACTGATTTTAATCAGAAAAAAAATGACTAATCATCCCACTAATCAAACCAGCAACAGTCAAGAATGCATGATTGTATGCTGTCATGGCTTTGCAATTGAAGTGTGGTGTATGTTTTGTTGTGTGTGTGTGTGAGCAGGGACCAGGCTTGTAAAGGACACAAGGTACCCAACGGGTCGCTTTGTCACACTTCGCCCTGCGAGTTGGAGGAAGGAGATGATGAGGACAGCAGCTCTGAGCGCAGCTCCTGTGCATCTTCATCCAACAACCAGAAGGACGGAAAATACTGTGACTGCTGCTACTGCGAGTTCTTCGGCCACAACGCGGTACGCTTTCTGTCAACTAGTAATGGAAAGGAAAGAAACTAATCATATATACTGTATATTTATTTATATACAGTGTTCTCACAGATATCTCGTTTACATTAATATTTTCTTCAGTTGCTTTGTTTCCATTCAATGATATGAGTTACATTTATGCACAAAACTGGGTCACGAAACACCAGAACACATGTGTTGAGCTGTTGACAGTGGTATATGTGTCCCACACTGCTAAAAACACTATTAGGACACCTATATCTCACTAAAAAGTGTAAATTGGTTGTTTTTGCGTTATTTCCAGCAAGTTCGTAGTTCCGGTTTGAAACTAATTTTTGAAGCTGCATCACGACCATGAGATCTTATCGTGTATTCCAGCGTGCAGACTGGACGTCTATACCTGAGTGTGCCGTATTACGTCTCAGAGTGTGTTGCATTAATGCATGAGTAAAACTTGGTTCAAACCAATCAGCGCGCTCTATTGTGCAACTTCATTAATATTCATTACTGTCACAGTGTTTAGACGACAGAGACGCCACGTTGTGTTGGCAAAACAAGCGTGAAGTGTTGCTTTTATAGTTTGCTGCAGTGAAGTTTTGTTTTCATTTTCTCTCTGTGAGAGCGCAGCTGGAGTCACGTGTGGATTAACAGTGTACGCGACGCTCGACAACAATAACTTACGTGTCTAAGGAGGATTATTGTTTACCTGAGAGCTGTTCTCATCTGCAAACGCTGAGATCCGGATTCGCTTTAGTCTCCTCTTAATACAGACGCGGCTCTAGTTGCTGGTGATTGTCCTGTCTCTACAGATTTGGTCAGTGAGCGACCAGTGCTCTTTGTTTATTCAGTTTGTTCGTATCGAACTATTACACCGAGTGTAAACATGTTAGCACCACAACCAAACTTTAACCTCGTGTAGGATTTTTACCGCATTTTGCATTTTTGTTTCTAAAAAAAAAACTTTCTCTAGAAGAACAAATATTAGAGGAAATACTGTGAAAAACACCTGAATCTGTTCAACATCATTTGGGAAATATTTGACAATGAAAATAAATTCACAGGAGGGCGAATAGTTTTGACTTCATTTGTATTCAGTCATTATCAGCTCTGCTATAACAGCCCTGCTCTCCCCTGTCCAGCCTCCAGCTGCTCCCACCAGTCGTAACTATGCGGAGATCCGGGAGAAGCTGCGGTCCAGACTGACCCGTCGTAAAGAAGAGCTTCCCCAGAGGCAGGATCTGGACCCGGCTGCTCCCAGTGCCATCGACCACCGAGACGTGGACGAACTGCTGGACTTCATCAACAGCACCGAGCCCAAACCTGTCAACAGCGCCAAGGCGGCAAAGCGGGCACGGCACAAACAGAAGAAGAAGGTACGCGGGTCGTTTTTACCTCACTGTGTGTTTAAATATCACAGCTGTAATTACTTCTGAAGTTCATTGCAGTCTGAATTGTTTGCACACAATTTATACCTTCACTCTGAGATTTGTTCGTCATTGAAAAATCATTTCGTTTTTTTGCAACCATATAAAGCATCTTGAGAGGTCAATGAGGTCAATTTGCCCAGCCTTACTGTGCGTTCAGACCGAAAGCGACGAGAGTGTCAAAGTAGCCGGAAGTCATTCATTTTCAATGAGAGCCGGCGGCGAGGAGCAGCACGGCGCGTCTTCGCCGGTCTGGGCGTCGAGGAGAGTTGAAATCAAGTCAATTTTATGGTAATGAGCTATGACGCGGTTCAACTGCAACCAATCAGAATGAAGACGTCCACTGCTTGAGAGGAGTCCACAGAACACAGTCAGTGTGAACTTTGGTTCCGACCAAGCCGCAACCTCCCGCTCTCCCTCGGGAGGCCAATACGGAAGTAACTGAAACTGCAATTCATCGAAAATCCGCTAGTCCTGTCTCCATAATAGAACAAAGTTTAATTAAGCACACTGTTAGAATGGCCAACTTCCACAAAAGGTGTTTACAGCCTGCTACAAAGAGCGATTTTGGTTCATAAAGCTAATATTAACCTTCATGACAACTGTGAGGGGGGTGAATTTTTTTATAACTCATCTGTTTCCTTAATATTAGGTTATATTAAGTTTGCATAATTAAGGGCGTGGCCACTTGATTGACAGCTAGGTCTCGCTGGTCGCCGTCACTTCATCTTAGCTGACTCCTCGAGATTAGCCTCTGATTTCGGCATATTCATCCTATTTTTATCTTGTTTTTTGTGGCTTTACACAGTCAGTTGCCTTTAGGGATTATTTCCTACAATTATCAGATGATATGGGACGCTGTGTGCACTTAATTGTGCTCACAAACCATTTACGTGGCCTCCGTTTCCCATGTGAGTAAAGTTATATACTTGTATACCATCTCTATACATGTATTTGTTTTATTCAAGATCATTTATAATGCTCTTTAGAGCTGTAATGCACTCCACAGTCTGACAGACTGATTAGCTGTGGGCTCTAGATCAGTCATCTGAAGCGTTGTCATACAGTGTTATGCTGGAGTTCATCAATAGTCTTACATTAACTAACACAGACTATATCTGAAGTGTTTGGAAGTAATTTGCGTTTTCCTCCTGTTGAAAAACATCATAAGAACAATGTTTAGTGGCTCAATGTATAACAGCAGAGTTTTTAAAAGACTAAACACTTTATTTATGTGTACAGCCAAGCACATGTGGTCAGAACACAAGCGAGTCTCAGGGGATAAAGTATTAAGCGTTCTCCCAAAGTAAAGTGTGTCTGAACCAGGTCCAATCAAAATGCCAGCAGGTGTCTGTAGCTCCGCCCACTCTCCGCCTCTTTGCCCTTGTTGGATATCCCTCTGTGAGTGTGATGACGCGCGAACAAAATGGCGACGGTTGGCCACGCCTACTTGTGGCTTCTTTTGCGCCTATGGGTGACGTCACGGACACTTCGTCCATATATTTTACAGTCTATGGTTCCAACAACAGTTGTTTCCAAGGGTTTGATTATTGCGGATTTCCAATTATTTGCAATGTTTTCTTACAGGCACATGCATTAAATAAACTACTAGCGAGTTACTGATGTGCATTAATGTTATATTTTTTTCTTTAAAAAAAGCGGGAATCTCATGCGACAATACAAAATAGTAGGGGTGCTCAAATTTATGCTCAATTTCGATTATTGAATCAAAAATAGAATCGTCGATGCTGCCACGCCCCCATGTCACGTCAGCTTGGCTTGCCAAGCGGGAAAAAACAGGCTTGTTGAAGTGCTTGTTAAACTGCAGACGCAGGAGACCCGTCGACAGAGCTTAAACCCTCTCCTCTTTCAATGAAGTCGCCGGTGTGGAAGCATTTTGGATTTCCAGTGAGTTATGTTGACAACATTCGTGTTGTCGACAAAAAAACCCCCACAGTTTTGCAAGCTCTGCTATGTACGTATTACGTACGGTTCGTCCGATAGATAACACCGGCATCGCGATCCTCCGCCCGCCCCCGTTGCAAATCCGCTCGCGAAAAGTTCACACTCAGGCCCTGTTTACACTGTCTTTGTTTTTAAATGGCATTTTAGAACGACAACGATTTGACATCCACAGTGGCGTGTAGCATTTCTGAGCAGCCCTCCTTCCTCTCTACCTCTGAAAATGCACATCACGTGACCACACACACACAGACGCACACACAGCCATGCGCTCGAGACAGCAGGTCCAGGCAGTCAGAGGACTGCTTCAATCTTTTACTCACTTGTACTGAGTCATTTTAGCGAACACCTCAGATACTGTTGGCTGGTTTCTGTTGGTTGTGCGTCTTTTTTACCGACGCCATTATAACGACACAGATCACTGCCTATTCACGAGTCCCGCAGAAAAAGTGATTGACAGGTGCTAATTATGTGTGTGTCTTGCCTTTATTCATTTACTGTATGATTTGTTTATGGGTAAAACAAAGAGCATGCAGGTCAGGTAGTTTAAACGGTAGGCTACAAATAATTAATTCGTCATTAATTAATTAATTATTCATAATCGAAAATCGAATCGAATCGTGACTTTAGAATCGAAAATGTAATCGAATCGAGGATTTGGAGGATCATGACACCCTTACAAAATAGTACTGCTGCTTCAGGATATTTCAGACATATAGACACAAATTGGATAAGTGGAGCAAAGCCAGACCACATGCAACTACAGGGTGGGCCATTTATGTGTTCAATGTGCTGCCCGTTGTGTTGGATTGTCAATGCAAGCCTCTTCTCCCACTCTTCATGCACTGATAGCAACACCGCAGGAGGAATGCCAGCACAGGCTTCCAGTATCCGTAGTTTCAGGTGCTGCACATCTTGTATTTTCACACCATAGACAATTGCCTTCAGATGACCCCAAAGATAAAAGTCTAAGGGGGGCAGATCGGGAGACCTTAGGGGCCATTCAACCAGCCCACGACGATCAATCCACTTTTCAGGAAACTGTTCATCTAGGAGTGCTCGGACCTGACACCCATAATGTGGTGCTGCACCATCTTGCTGGAGAAACTCAGGGAACGTGCCAGCTTTAATGCATAAAGAGGGAAACACATCATCATGTAGCAATGTCAAATATCCAGTGGCCTTGAGGTTTCCATTGATGAAGAATGGCCCCACTATCTTTATTGTCTATAGTGTGAAGATACAAGGTGTGCAGCACCTGAAACTACGGATACTGGAAGCCTGTGCTGGCATTTCTCCTGTGGTGTCAATAAGTGTGTGAATAGTGGGAGATGAGGGTTGCATTGCACAATGGGCAGCACATTAAACACATTTTAAAAGTTGTATGAAACTTGTAAATAACTCATGACAGAATAAAGTTACATTAAAACCAAGCACACCATTGCTTTTCTTGTGAAAATCCCATTAAGTTTGATGTGTCACATGACCCTCTTTCTATTGAAAAAAAAACTAAAGTTGAATCCAAGATGGCCGACTTCAAAATGGCCACCATGGTCACCACCCATCTTGGAAAGTTTGCCCTTTCACATACACTAAAAACAATAATTGCCTACTCATATCAACCTTTATTTTACATCAACAGAATCGTGAGAAAATCCTGATCTTTATTTTAAGCAAAAAATCGCAATTCTCATTTTAGCCAGAATCGTGCAGCTCTACTGTATATTGGAACGGAAGTTAGTTGTTTTTACTTCTTTTCTTTTTTGGCCAAAAACATGCTCTCTCATTATTAGTGCTGTGTAGGCATCATCTATTTTACATAGATATAAAAATAAATTGAAACTATTGCATGTTTTATGATATGCTGTAATAAATGTAAACGCTTCTTATGATTCACCACATACATGTAAACATTACATGAAACATTAGGTCATGAAAAATGTCCTGGAATTTTTGTAGTGAATATGTGTATGAAGCCTGTCCCTCTCTCTGTCTGGGTGTCACTGCTGGTTCAGTGGAGGGACTAGAAAATCTAGAAAGTCAAAAATGAGGAAGTTTTGGACAAATAGTTCACTGCAACGCTCAAAACTAGTTTAAACTAAGCCCTAACTCAGCAAATGACCATGGAATAAGCGGGATAATCAACGGCTTGCTGTGCGTTAAAGGATTTTAATGTACTTTACAGAGATTTCCACATCGTGCATTTAAATCCTTCAATGCACAGCAAGCCGTTGATTATCCCTTAAACATTTATAAAAGCTTTTATTCTGGATGTGACCAATCACAATTAATCTTTTGGCAACCTTTTTGTTTTGTTAATCTTATTTCTAATAACTGATTTATTTTATCTTTGCCATGATGACTGTAAATAATATTTTACTAGATATTTTTTAGACACTTAACTAGGTTAATTAGGTTAACTTGGCAGGTTAGGGTAATTAGGCAAGTTATTGTATAGCAGTGATTTGTTCTGTAGATTATCGAGAATAAATATAGCTTAAAGGGGCTAATAATTTTGTCCATTAAATGGTGTTCAAAAAATTTAAAACTGCTTTAATTCTTGCCGAAATAAAACAAATAAGACTTTCTCCAGAAGAAAAAATATTATCAGACATACTGTGAACATTTCTTTGCTCTGTTCAACATCATTTGAGAAATATTTTAAAAAGAAGTAAAAAAAATAAAGGGGGCTAATAATTCTGACTTCAACTATATATATATATATATATATATATATATATATATTAGGGATGTAACGGTTCACAAAAATGAACCGTGACGGTGTCACGGTTCGGTACGTTTTCGATACAGCAAAAAAAGAAAAAAGCTAGAGGATTTCTCATTAATTTTTTCATGTATTAAAACTAACATCATTTATTGCAACTTCCTGATGCCTCCTTGAGTAGCTAGAGAGGCAGTGAAGGTCCTTTGTATTTGTGACGCGCTGGTGGCTTTAGACAGACACACTGAGCCCAAGATGTTATAAGGAAAACTTTATGTAAACTTGAAGCATGACAAACAATACAACAATTTGTGTCGTTGAATACCTGTTTTGTATGGAGCCGATTATTGCGTTGTAGTGATGGTTGTTGCGTGTGCCGTTGCGATGCCGTTTTGCGGTCAACAAATAATACGACCAAACTCTCCTTCTCTCCTCCTCACCCGTTTGATTGTGCACGCGCTTTATATGTTCTAGCAGGTGCCAGTTATGCCCACGTGACCAAAACATAAAACATCACTGTGAAACCCAAACTAATCAGTATACAAATAAACATTATAATAAATGAAAAGTAATATGGCTCCTATATCATTAAAGTATGATCTTGTTTGTTTTCTTTTTCTTTAAACAGTGATAGAGCTGTACTTCCGGGGTTTCTGCTTAGCAGCAAATAAAACAAATCCTTTATACTCAAAACCGAAAAGCTTCCTTTAAAAAAAAAAAAATGTAATAGTGTAACAGTTAAACAAATAAAAATAAAAGAACAATTGAGTTTGTATATGGAACTCAGTTTCAATCCATCTTTAAAGGGTCACGAAACACCAAAACACATGTGTTGAGCTGTTGACAGTGGTATATGTGTCCCACACTGCTAAAAAGACTATTAGGACACCTATATCACGCTAAAAAGTGTAAATTGGTTGTTTTTGCGTTATTTCAAGCAAATTCGTACTTCCTGTTTAAAACGAATTTTTGAAGCTGCGTCACAGCCATGAGATAATATCGTGTATTCCAGCGTGCAGACTGGGCGTCTGTGCCAGAGTGAGTCTTATTACGTCTTACAGTGTGATGCATTAATGCATGAGTAAGGCTTGGTTCAAACCAATCAGTGCGCTCTATTGTGCAACTTCATTAATATTCATTACTGTCACAGTGTTTAGACGACAGAGACGCCACGTTGTGTTGGCAAAACAAGCGTGAAGTGTTGCTTTTATAGTTTGCTGCTGTTAAGTTTCGTTTTCATTTTCTCTCTGTGAGAGCGCAGACTCACGCGTGGATTAACAGTGTACGCGACAACAATAACTTACGTGTCTAAGGAGGATTATTGTTTACCTGAGAGCTGTTCTCATCTGCAAACGCTGAGATCCAGATTGTAGTCTCCTCTAAATAAAGACGCAGCTCTAGTTGCTGGTGATTGTCCTGTCTCTACAGATTTGGTAAGTGAGCGACCAGTGCTCTTTGTTTATTCAGTTCGTATTTTATTCGTATCAAACAAACTATTGCACCGAGTGCAAGTTAGCACTAACAGTTACAACCAAACTATAACCTCGTGTTGGATTTTTGTGACGGGAATAACACACGCGGCTTTCTGACGCTACCTGCCGTGTGCATCTAAGTTTCCGGGAAATGCTGAGTTTTTTTTTCTCTCATTCGCTGTGCGGTATCAAACATTGCATGAAAAATACACGCTTAGAGCAGCTCCTCGAATCAAATATCACGTTTGTCGCGAGGGAGATGACTGAATTCCCTGAATGAAAGAGCCAAACTGCAGTTAAAGTCCACCATTTAATAATTTGGCAAATAATTCGACTACAGAGGTCCATGTAAACACAGTCACATTGTCCGCTGTGGGTGTGTTTTGACTCTGAAATTCAGCGTGCCCAAATAGACACTCCAATACCAAGCCGCTTTTCTTCCTCTGACACTCCCCCCTAAACAGAGCTGGACACGCCCACTTTTCTGACTTTTTCCAAAGTAGAGGTGTGAAAACACCCTGCTGAAACGAGGGGGTTTCATGGCCCTTTAAGTATTTATTTTTTATTTTCAGAACGATAAGTGTCCACCTTTACCTCAGACAGCACAGATCTGCTTGATTTGACATTTCAGTGGATCTGAAAGCAGGAATTATCTGACTGAAATGGGCTTATAAAGGAATAATGTTACGGTGCTCTATTACATTTAACATTTTCTTAAAACCCAACATTTCCACTACCGATTAAGTCTCATATCCACAGCTATAAATGTACCGATTGCCTTGGTGATTTGTTTGAATCAGTAGGAATTGCCTGTCTGAATGCTGCGGCGTAGAGCTGCACAATTAATCGTTAAAAGATGGCGATCTCGATTTGACCCCCTAGACGATCTTAATCCAGCATTTCTACGATTCTGTCAATCATATTTTCAAGTTCAGGAGAGAGGAAAAGGCAGCTGCACGAGTCTTTTCATTGTTTCACACACACTGCTCAGTGACATTGACACCTCTAAATGATGTTGAATGAGTCGCATACTGTATTGATAAGGTATAATTCACCTAAAAATGTAATTTTTGTCTTCATAAAATGATGTTTTCGCGGCCGGGAAATCACATGTGACGTGAGCTGCTGACCATGAGCTGTTATCACAGAGAGGACGCGCGCTCTCTACTTAATGATAGACGCGCGCGCGTCTACTTTAGTGAACAGAACCTGCACATGTTGTGAGTAATAGGTAATACAGTTGTAAATAATATTCAGATTGTGGCACAGAGTGATCGTTTAGGAGCCGTACACGAAGTATGACAATCGCTTAGCAGTCAAAATGAAACCGAAAGTTCATTTAAATGATCATATCGCATTATAGAGTTATGATTACAGCAAGCGTTTGATATGTTTTTTCTTTCATAGTGAACACACAGTTGTGCATGAAAATAAATGTGTACAGTGTCAGTATAACTACTCTAGCCTATATAATGTTGAATATAATCTGATAATGGCAAATGTCTGATTTTACCAGTGAATTAAATTGTCTAATATGACAGATTGCAAGCATATATCTCAAACATAATAATTCAACATCAGAATTAATATAAGTAGAATAGAATTATTTATAGAAGCCAGTAGACCTACACATAATACTATTATCGATGTTGTGCCGTATGTTTGTTTTTACCAAACCTTTATTTTACATCTACAGAATCGTGAGAAAATCCTGATCTTTATTTTAAGCAAAAAATCGCGATTCTCAGAATCGTGCAGCTCTACTGTGGGGATAGTCCCATGTAGTGCGCGTGTTTCCAGTTTTTCGTCTAATTTCAGTTACTGATTCCGTGATGTCAGTGCAAATGAATTGACATGCTCAAATATTACCGCTAAAATAACTTGCCGTCATAGCAGATGTCATTGTTGTTGTTTTTTATCCACCGCTCTCTTACCATCCCCCTCATAACTTACAGAGAAACCAGTGCTCCCAAACGCCAGACCCGCTGTTGGTTATAGGAGGATTACATTAACGTTAAAGCCATTCTGCGAGCTAGTGCAGCGTGTGCCTGGCTGGAGTAGGGTTTGGAGGTGGGCGGGGAAGGCAGCATGTTGCCCGTCACCTCATTCGGGATGCCTTGTTGAGCATTGTTGCACTGAAAACATTATATTTGAACTTCATTCATTCATTTTGTTTACCTTAGTCCCTTTATTAATCAGGGGTCACCACAGCAGAAAGAACTGCCAACTATTCCAGCATATGTTTTACGCAGCGGATGCCCTTCCAGCTGCAACCTAACACTGGGAAACACCCATACACTTTCATATTTACACAAGACAATACAGCCAATTAGTTCATCAAGTTTCCTATAGCGCATGTGTTTGGACTGTGGGGGAAACCGGAGCACCCGGAGGAAACCCACACCAACACAGGGAGAACATGCAAACTCCACGCAGAAACACCAACTGACCCAGAAAAGGCTCGAATCAGGGACCTTCTTGTTGTGAGGCCACAGTGCCACCATGGCGGCCCAGTTCTAACTTCAATTCCTAGAAATCTTCTAACTTCTGTATTCTGCATGTGTGCTGAACAGTGACTGAATCCTCGTCTCTCTCTCTCTCTCTCTCTCTCTCTCTCCAGGAGAAGGAGCGGGCTCTTCAGTGCAGTATGGATGCAGTCGGCAGTGACCCACGCTCCGCTTCTCCTCCAGACCCCATGGAGGACTCGGCTCCAGATGCAGATGCTAACCGGCTCCTGGAGTGGCCTCAGCTAGAGCTGGAGCGCGTGAACAGCTTCCTGACCAGCCGCCTGGAGGAAATCAAAAACACCATCAAAGACTCCATCCGCGCCTCCTTCAGCATGTACGACCTCAACCTGGACGTCAACGACTTCCCCAAAAAAGCGGCGACGCTTGAAGGAAATCATTTGCTTTCTCACCTCAACGGATCCTCAGATCTGCAGCAGATCGATCTTGACCTGGCGCCGCTCTCGCTGAGGAACTTTAAGAGAGATTTAGACATCGTGAACGGTTGGGAAGACACGACAACAGCCGCCAAAGACATCCAGAGGCTTCACTCTACGCCCAGTCTTTCCAAACTCATCCGCGTGCGCTCGCCAGAACGAATCCCGGCTCCAGAATCCACCCAGAGCGCCGCTAAACCCGGTGAAGCGCTGCCCGAGATCAAGAGTTTAGCAGGAGCCAAGATGAAGAAGAGTAAAAAGCAGCAGGAGGTCAGTGGGAAATCATCAACGCATAAAGCGCAGGAGATAAAAGCGGCGGATTGTGATAAGAGCACTAAAGGGGGATGCAAAACACAGCAGGTGGATGCACAGAAGAATGGAAATAAGAAAGCGGAGGAGGTGAAAGTGTGTAAGCAGACGTCCTCCAATGGTCATCATAATACTGCGACAAACACACAGCAGAGGGCGAAAAATGAGCTGTCGGACACGCGGGGAAGCAGACCGGAGCATGATGGAGACACTAAAAGCATCAGCAACACTCCCAGTGCACAGCAGCCCAAGGGGAAGACTAAGAACAAGAACAAAAACAAGACGGAGAAGTCCAGTAATGCTATCGGTGAGTGGATTATTTGAAGTGTAAGGGCTGAGGTGTTGAGTTGCAATGATTCTGCATTGATTTATTAAATGTGATGTGATGTTTCTGAGCTTAGTGTTTATCAACAGACTGTGCTGTATACTTTACAAACAGCTCCTCTCTGCTTAATTCCTTATGCTTGAGCCTAACATAGTCATTAATAAAGTTTGGAAAGATTTAAGCATTTCAAGATTTTATTACTATTAAGATTAGAGCGCCGTATATGCTGTATAATATATATATATATCATGGTTTCCGCTACATTCATTCTTCCGTGACAGGGCGCCACACCAAAATTCATCCTGCCACGGCTAAATTACAGCTTCTTATTCAAAATATTCAGTCGTTTTTTTAAAATAGCGGGTTCAAACCGCACCGAAAAGTATGAAAAGGTTAGTGAATAATAACAGTACCAACTTTTCTGTGACCGTAGTAGTGCTGTGCGTTCTGTTTAACCCTTTAAACAGGCATGGGGTCATCAAACTCAGACCCGATAGAGGACTCGAGAGGTGAGCGGATCAATTCTTTTTCCGGCTCTAAACGCATATGATTGGCTTCTGCCAATGTGATGATGACTTGAAATTACCGATACTACCTGCACGAATGTGCACAAGCGCGGATGAATGTGCTTTTAAAATGAACGAATCGTTCATGAACGACCCATCACTACAGTTCAGTATTTATTATCTGCTCTGTTATAATGACTGTTTACATTTATTTGCTTCTCCAGCATGTCATCACAGTACTCTGAAACTATTTCACTACTATCTACATGGTTTCCGCTGCATTCATTCTTCCGTGGCGAGGCGCCACACCAAAATTCATCCCACCACGGCTACATTACAGCTTCGCATTCATAATATTTGGTCGTGTTTTAAATAGCATATTAAAACCGCACCGAAAACGTATGAAAGGATAAGTGAATAATAACAGCGCAAACTTTTCTGTGACTGTAGTAGTGCTGTGCGTTCTGTTTAACCCTTTAAGGTGACGTGCTGACTGACTGACAGACAGGTGTGTGATGCGTGAGACCAGCAAACACGGCGTAGCTCTCAGTTATGATGAACACAGTTTCCATAATTATACTTTATTTACAGATAAAGGTCTGTGGCTCTGCATATATTGACTTCATCTTGCTGGAGTTTATAGCCGTTTCACTTTACTTCAGGACGCATTAATGCTGCGGTCCGCTCCGCAAGTCTATCGGAGACATTCATAAATATTCCTAGCAAATCTAATAAATGTTGGAGACATACTCGCTACATAAACACACTAAATCACACGTTTATTTGAGGACGCGTTAAAAAATCTGCACTTCAGCAGCGTATATTTGAGGGCGCACAAGAGATTTTGTGCACGAACAGAGGAAATCGGCGCTCAAGCAGAGATTGGCATGCTCGTAGGCTATTACATGAATGCATCTCGACTTCTTATACTGCGACCATGACATTTGTCAATGAAATAACGCCACATGTAGTGGTAGATCTGTGTAAAAGTCTGCCGCCACAGCTGGAAAAAATCCTAGAGGAAACACTATATATATATATATATATATATACACACACACATATGCAACTGCAACTCCGCATACCCATTAAGACATGTAAAATTTTGCTCATACACAATGAAAAATATGAAAAGTATTACTGTAAACAATGTATTTTATGACACAACGATATAAAAAATAGAACATAATATGAAATGATCGACTTTTTACTTTTTCCACATGATTTATATCATCATATTGCACCTAGCATCATATTTATCCAAACAATTTCCTGCTCTTCGCTGCTTTAATTTGTCCATTTCTCTCTGTCAGATGATGTGTTTCTTCCCAAAGACGTGGACCCCACAGAAATGGATGAGATTGATCGCGAGGTTGAATATTTCAAAAGGTAATGTTTAATAGTGGTGTTTGCCAAAACAAAACATCAATATTATAATTACCACCATTTGTATTTAAACTACAGTACAAATTCAATCACAGCACTTTGAATAATACTTGTGTATGAAATGTGCTTTATAAATAAACCTGCCCTGCCTCACAGTTCAGTTTTTAGTGTTTATAAATATCAGTGTAGAACACAGAATGTGCTGCTCTGGTGCCGTATATGCTGCATATATACTCATGCAAAATATTTTTAAATATATGACAGAAACTTAATTATCATTAGATAAGAATCATTAATATGATTTTAATAAATGACAATATATGAAGTAATTTTTTCTGACTTTGAGTTTGTTGGTTATGTATGATGCAATATAGGACTCATAGCCCCGCCTCGTATCAAGGATTGATAGCCTTGCCCTAAAGGACTGATAGCCCCTCCCTAAAGGACAGACAACCCCGCCCTAAAGGACTGATAGCCCCTCCCTTAAGGACAGACAACCCCGCCCTAAAGGACTGATAGCCCCTCCCTTAAGGACAGAAAACCCCGCCCTAAAGGACTGATAGGCCCTCCCTTAAGGACAGAAAACCCCGCCCTAATGGACTGATAGTCCCACCCTAAAGGATTGATAGCCCCTCCCTTAAGGACAGACAACCCCACCCTAAAAGACTGATAGCCCCTCCCTTAAGGACAGACAACCCCGCCCTAAAGGACTGATAGTCCCACCCTAAAGGATTGATAGACCCTCCCTTAAGGACAGACAACCCCGCCCTAAAAGACTGATAGCCCCTCCCTTAAGGATTGATAGCCCCTCTTTTAAGGACAGACAGCCCCGCCCTGCCCTAAAGGACTGATAGCCCCTCCCTTAAGGACAGAAAACCCTGCCCTAAAGGACAGATAGCCCCTCCCTAAAGGACAGATAACCTCGCACTAAAGGACTGATAGTCCCGCCCTGAAGAATTGATAGAACCCCTGAAGGATTTATAGTCCTGCCTTAAAGGACAGAGAGCTCCGCCTTAAAGAAATGATAAGTTCGCCCTAAATAACTGATAGCCCCTCCCCAACCACTGATACCTTCACCCTAAATCACTGATAGCCCTTCCCTAAAGGACTGACTGCTCTTCCCTAAAGTACAGATAGCTCCACCCTAATGTACTGATAGCCCTGCCCTGAAGCAGTGATAGCTCCGCCCCAAAAGTACTCATAGCCTCACCTTAAAGATCTGATTACCCCGCCCTAAACCACTGATAGCTCTGGCCTAAAGGACTGATAGCTCCTCCCTAAAGCACTGATAGCCATGCTTTAAAGGACTGATAGCTCCTCCCTAAAGCACTGATAGCTCCTCCCTAAAGCACTGATAGCTCCTCCCTAAAGGACTGATAGCCACGCCCTATTGTACTGATAGCTCCTTTGTAAACCACTAATAGCCCCTCCTTAAAGGACTGGTTGCTCCTCCCAAAAGTACAGATAGTTCTGCCTTAATGTACAGATAGCTCCGCTCTAATGTACTGATAGGCCGGCCCTAAATCAATGATAGCTCCACCCTCCACATAGGCTCACCCTAAAGATCCGATAACCCTGCTTTAAACCACTGATAGCTCCGCCCCTGAATGACATCATTTATAACAAGCACTGCTAATTACATATGCAAATAAGAATTGATGATTTCATTGCATCTTTAAAGAGTGTCATTGATAAAATGACCTTCTTCTGATTTCTCTCTATTGCCTGGCCTCAGGTTTTGCCTGGACTCTGCTAAACAGACCCGACAGAAGGTGGCGGTGAACTGGTCCAACTTCAGCCTCAAAAAGATGCCCTCAAATGCAGCTCAGTAACAGACGGAGGAGCCGGATGCAAAACTGTACTGAAATCTCCTTTTGGCCTTGGGTTTCCTGAACCCAGCACTCGACCGGCCCGCTCACAGCCCTTCTGCCTCTCTATGCCACGGGAAATTGATTTCGACCATCATCATCATCATCAAACACTTTTTAATTTCTAGCTGCGTCCTGACCTCAGTCCCACTACGCTGCAGCTTGTGACGGCTAAAACACGATCGGGTACTGATCCACTGCTTTATATGTCGTATGTACACAGTTGTTTTTACAATAAAAACGTTTTTAAACAATGAAATGCGCAAGAATACACAGCGGTTTGCCCCAGCGAGCCTGTCCAAGGTACATTTTATAAGCTCAAACCACGCAAACGTTACTGTAGTCTTAGTATAGATGCGAAAACGTGGGATCGCTCAGATGTTCAGGCTGTGTTTTAGTCTTAGAAGATGATGACGTCCATGTGAATTCAAGCAGAGCGATCTGGATCATCAAGCACACGAAATTGAACCGTGCACTTTTTGTCGTACTTTAAAAACGGCAGCGAGACCTTTTAGGATGTACGTAGATCCAACATTGACACTAAAAATGAACAGAAAGGGTGAGTTTTCTACACAGATGAGCTGCGTTTTCTTTGCATGATGCGTAAAACTGACCACGTTATGCTCCGTTTCGTTTCTACTGAAGCTAATGAACATGACTAGTTCTCCAGATCTCCTCCAGATTAGTGATCCTCCGTGTGCCGGTTTGGATGTTTCTCTGTGCTGTGACCACGTCCTCAATGCTGTTGTCTGTAGTTGGCTCTCCAGATGTGCGCCCGTGTTTTGGCCGCATGATGGTTTCAGATTGGTGAGTTTAGATCCAGCCTTCATTCGTTACATCTGCAATCAAGGACTCTTGCTGATGTGGTGCGGCGCTTATCCGTTGCTCTGTATGTCTGTACACATCCCGGTTTAAGAAAATACGAGATGATGTTGGTCTCTGGGTTTGTGCTAGACTAAATCCCCCTTGAAGGATTCTTGAGATGTTTTTGTTTCGTTTTTCTTCCCTTCTCCGACATCTTTGACTCTATCCAGGTTATATTCAGCTAGAAAACATTATCTTAAACATTTGGAATGTAGATTTATACTATACCATCAATGGCCAAGTGTATGTTGGCTTTCTGTTTTATTTTGTTGTTTTTTTATTATAATTATTATTATTATTATTATTCACTTTTGATACTGTGAAGATCTTTCATGCCGAAAGATTAAAACATGACAGTTTTGAAAAAAACAAACAAAAACAAAGCGTAAAGTGTCGTGTTTGATTTTTGAACTTGTGTATGTTGATATCGGATTTTAAGACATTTATTGAACAGAAGAGCGTGTAGATGAGAGAATATCATCAATCGTTTTTAGTCATAAATAACAGTCTTACATTTTAATTCCTTTAGAGGGGAAAGGAGTCATTTAGGTCAGGGATTCCCAAACTTTTTTATTCCGCGACCCACCTAGGCAAGTGATTCAATCTCAAGACCCAGCATGATATTTTAAAATGGAAAAATGGGTTAAACAATGTCTCCATTCAAAGCAGTCAAAAATATATGGTGTGCGGCTTTTTGGATTTTGCGATTTGATATGCACAAAATGAGGCTGGAAGTGCTTTTTGTGGGATGCTGGCTGTAACTGTGGTCATTTTTTTGTTGAAAAAGATCCTCGTCTTTTTTCAGAAGAGAATATGATCAACCTTTGATCAAGCCCCTTGATTATGATCAAGCCCCGTCACATCGCTGTAATGTAATGTGTATTTATATAGCGCATTTATTGTGTATGGCCGTACACCCAAAGCACTTCACAATCATGAGGGGGGGTCTCTCCACACCACCACCAGTGTGCAGCTCCACTTGGATGATGCTCCGGCAGCCACAGGACAACGGCGCCAGTGTGCTCACCACACACCAGCTATTGGTGGAGTGGAGAGACAGTGATGGAGCCAATTCGGTGGAAGGGGATGATTGGGAGGTCATGATCGCAAGGGCCGATAGAGGGACTTTGGCCAGGACACCGGGGTTACACCCCTGCTCTTTCACGAGAAGTGCCATGGGATTTTTAATGACTACAGAGAGTCAGAACCTCAGTTTAACGTCTCATCCGAAAGACGGCGCCCACTGACAGTGTAGTGTCCCCTTCACTTTTACTGGGGCATTAGGACTCACACAGACCACAGGTTGAGCGCCCCCTGCTGGCCTCACTAACACCACTTCCAACAGCAACCTAGTGTTCCCTAGTGGTCTCCCATCCAGATACTGACCAGGCTCAGCCCTGCTTAGCTTCAGTGAGTAACTGGAAATTTAGTAAATTCCACTGCTAGTGTAGTCATAAGAAACTAAATCGCTTTTTGATCAACTACTACAAGCTGGGAAAACGTCAGATAAATATGCCAATGCAATTAACGTTATCGCTGAATAGATCTAATATTTACACATTTGCTTGAGGAAGGAATGATGGGGGTAGTTACAATAATATTACTATTTTCCATAACATCTATGCCCTTCCATAACATTAACAGATAGCACTATAGCTATTTAATGATTAGCAATCTGTCAACGTTGGGATGTAAAAAATATGGGACAACACATAGCTTCAAATGATAGAATACAAAGCAAACATTAGAAAATATTGACAATAAAATAAAAGGTTTAGCCTATTAAAATCAATGGCCTATCCAGAAATTAAATAAATCTATAAAATCTACTTCACCTTTAATTGTATTCGCATATTGATTAAAGTTACTATAGCTATTCAGTGAAGAGCAGCAGATGAATCTCTCATTGTGTTTTGCTTGATAACAGAGGTGTTCATGTAAGAATGCACAGATCTATAATGAATGAATGAATGAAGCATTCCACTACTTTAGTAACTGTTTGTGCTCATTTAAGAGAAAATTAGTAGTGTTTAAAATAAAACACGCAGGACGGAGCAAACAAAACAAAACAAGAAAAAGCACTTTTCCGACGGTCCCTTACTGAGAGCACCGCTCTGCGCGAGCTCTCCCAGCTAAACGCAGATTGCGAGTGCTCAAACGGAGCAGTGCTCGTAATGTCGAGCGAAAAAAAAGAAAAAGACAGCTGTGAAACATCACCAGCTTAGTCTTTTTGAAGGGAAACACACTAGATGTTTTTAGGGTAAGAGGTTTTTGAGTTATTGCCGTCAATCGTACTGGTTTTGATTCACCGCAATGTAAATACAGCTGCAGCTATGTGACCCACCTTTGTTCACTGTGCAACCCACAGTTTGAAAACCCCTGATTTAGATTGTTATTATTCAGTTTAATTCATCTTTATTTGTATAGCGCTTTTACAATGTCGATTGTGTCAAAGCAGCTTAACAGAAGATTATAGTGAATGTGAACAGTGTCAGTTTTCAGTTTTTAAGCTCAGTTCAGTTTAGCTTAGTTCAGTGTGGTTTAATAATCACTGCTGAGAGTCCAAACACTGAAGAGCAAATCAATCCATGCGCAGCTCCACAGATCCCGAACCATATAAGCCAGTGGCGACAGCGGAGAGGAACAAACTTCACCAATTGACGAAAGTGAAGAATAAAAAACCTGGAGAGAAACCAGGCTCAGTTGTGCACAACCATTTCTCCGCTGGCCAAATGTCTTGTGCAGAGCTCCAGTCTAGGTGCTGGAGAATGCTGGACCTCAGTGAAGACTCATCTGTTCCTGGAGCATCACAGGAATCAGTCTCATGCTCTCCACTCCTCCATGACCACCACAGCAGCTGCTCAGGATACGGCCTGGTCCAGGATTATGGAGACCTTGGGATCATCTCGTGTATGCTTTACTAAACAGATAAGTCTTTAATCTAGTGTTGAACTGAGAGTGTGTCTGAGCCTCGGACATTATCAGGAAGGCTATTCCAGTGTTTAGGAGCCATAAATGAGAAGGCTCGACCTCCTTTAGTGCTATTCTTGAAACAAGACACAAAAACTCAAAGTAATAAAAGCATTTTAGCTGTGTGTCTAAAATATTTCTTGTAATTAGAGATGCACGATATGAAACCTTTTAACCTACACCCATTCTGATATACAGCTGAGGTCAGAATTTTTCCCCCCTCCACCCCTTTGAATATTTTTTATTTTTAAATATTTCCCAAATGATGTTGAACAGATTCAGGAAATGTTCACAGTGTGTCTGATTATATTTGTTCTTATGGAGAAAGTCTTTGTTTTATTTCGGCTACAATAAAAGCAGTTTTTATTTTTTTAAACCATTTTAAGGTCAGTTTTATTAGCCCCTTTAAGCGATATACATTTTTTCAATTGTCTAAAGAACAAACCATCACTAAACAATGACTTGCCGAATTACCCTAACCTGCCTAGTTACCCTAATTACCCTAGTGAAGCCTTTAAATGTCACTTTAAGCTGAATACTAGTGTCTTGAAGAATATTTAGTCTAATATTATTTACTGTCATCATGACAGATAAAATAAATCAGTTATTAGAGATGAATTATTAAAACTATTATGATTAGAAATGTGCTGGGAAATCTTCTCTCCGTTAAACAGAAATTGGGGGGAAAATAAACACGGCGAATAATTCAGACTTCAACTGTACAGATAAACATATTTTAATATTAAATGTTCATTTAATCTTCACGCTGCAAAAACATGCTTACATACTTAAGTACAAAACATACTTAAAATACTTACATTTTTTGTCCTGTTTCTAGTCCAAAGGCCTAAAAATTCTTAAATCAATATGAATTTTCTGACAAGCAAACAGTATAGTCTTGTTTTCATAAATATGGAGTCAAAATGAAGCGAGTTTCTCCATAAAACAAGCAAAATAATCCGACAATAAGCTCAGCAAAATGATCTACTGTTACAAAGAAAAACAAGATTATTTTACTGACCTCACTGGCAGATTATTTAGCTTGTTTCAAGGAAAAACTCACTTTATTTTGGCACATTGTTTATAACACAAGGCTTTATTTTGCTGGTCTAGAAAATGCTTCTTGATTAAAGATTTTTTTTAATAACTGGACTAGAAACAAGACGAAAAGAAAAAGAAGTAAAGCATGTTTTGCAGTGTAAAAGTCATAAATTTTAACGGTAAGGATAAATGTGAGAAGTGCATCATTTACTAATTTTAATAGTAGTTTAGAGTGAGTTTGTTTTTTAAACGCGTTATTAACTGGGTTACATAATATGATTAGCGTTCACTTCTGTGCCCTGTATAATCAATAGTGGATGGGTACTGCTAATTTTCTTATTCTGTTTGAAAGTCTAATACATTTAGAACAAAAACAAACATTAAAATATCTGCACAACTCTTCACATTTAGTTGACTTTCTGCCGAATACTGTCAGTTCGTTTGGTTTAGTCCCCTGCGGGCCGCCGTAGTTTACGTACCCCGAACGTCACTTTTCCGCTGCGGTAGCGGTTAGCATGCTGGCTAGTATAAACAATGCTTGACGTCGTTGTGTAATGTGACATTTATTCTTCTAAAATATCATCAATCATTTATCATTTTCAAGACAATCTCGTCGAGCATCATGGAAACGGAAAACCGAGCCAAAAAGGTGAGTTTTGCTAACGTGTAACGTTAAATAGACACATCTTAATCCAGCAGCAGACTCACAAACATTCGTGATCTCTATTATTATATGTTTTTAATAATGATCACAGTGTGTATATCGAATAAAACACTTTTTAGCAGTATTTATAACGAGGTAGATGTGTGGAGTAAGCGAATTACTGTTCATGTTTTCGATTAATTTGATTCTAAACTAAAGTTTACATTGATTGTGTATATATCGCTTTAACGTTAATGTAAATACAAGGGTAACGTTAATTTGTGATGGAAAGAGTGAAACAAATGAAACATTATGAACATTTAGAGGGTTTCTAGTTGTATATAGCTGTGTTTTTGTACCGTATATTAAAAGTAATTATGGTAGTAGTTGGTTTAGGTGTTGGGTAGTGAATAAACATTGCTTTATTGTAAATATAAAGGTACATTAAATGGAAAAGAATGTAAAACAAACATCTATATAAAAAAATCAATACTATGAACATTCAGACAATTTATAGGTCTATAGTTGTGGTTTTTGCTTGTTCTGTAAACTCTTTACTTTAAAATGTAATTTAGTGTTTACATTCACTTTAAGTCGACATTTGGAGGATTAACCTTGATTTTTAGTCATAACAAATAAAATAAAACAACATTTAACCATTTCATGAGAGGTTTTACACAAGTGCTATCAAAGTAGTGTAAAATGAATCGTCTATCATTTTACTCATATACTCTGATAATCTCTTAATTATTTTATCATTTTATTTAAGGTACAATTCACGCTATTAACAAACCATTAACTGTGACTTTCAGTTCAATAAACTCCTTATCAGCTGCATATTATTAATTATTAAGGTAGTAGTTGGTTCAGGTATTGGGTAGTGAATAAACATTGCTTTAGTGTAAATATAAAGGTACTTTAAGATGGAAAAGAGTGTAAAACAAACATCTATATAAAAAACTAATCAATAATATGAACATTCAGACAATTTATAGGTCTATAGTTGTGTTTTTGCTTTGTTCTGTAAACTCCTGTTTACATTTTTAATTTCATTTTTATTTTAAAATGTAATTCAGGGATTTTTCAGTCGTGTTTACATTCACTTTAAGTCGACAATTGGAGGATTAACCCTGATTTTTAGTCACGACAAATAAAATAAAACAACATTTAACCATTTCTTGAGAGGTTTTACACATGTGCTGTCAAAGTAGTGTAAAATGAATATGATCATTTTACTCTAATACTCTATTAATCTCTTAATTATTTTATAATTTTATTTTATGGTACAATTCACGCTATTAACAAACCATTAACTGTGATTTTAGCTTAATAAACTCCTTATCAGCTGCATATTATTAATTATTAAGGTTGTAGTTAGCTTTAAGTAGTGAATAAACATTGCTTTAGTGTAAATATAAAGGTACTTTAAGATGGAAAAGAATGTAAAACAAACATCTATATAAAAAACTAATCAATAATATGAACATTTAGACAATTTATAGCATTATAGTTGTGTTTTTGCTTTGTTCCTGATTACATTTTTCATAGTAAGAAATGTAATTATGAGATTTTTCAGACGTGTTTAAATTCAGTTTAAGACAACATTTGGAGGAATAACCCTGATTTTCAGTCACAACAAATAAAGTAAAACACATTTGACTATATCCAGAGAGGTTTTACACAAGACAATCAGAGTAGAATAAAAGAATAAATAAAAGAATATCACTATTTTACTCAAATAATTAAATTAGTTAGCTCTTATTTTTATCACTCTATTTTAAGATACAATTGTTGTTATTAACCAACCATAAATCATGATGAATTTTATCCCAATAATCTCCCAAATTTCTGCTTATTAATCATTATTGAGGTAGTAATTAGGTTCAGGTATTGGGTAGTGAATAAACATTGCTTTAGTGTAAATATAAAGGTACTTTAAGATGGAAAAGAGTGTAAAACAAACATCTATATAAAAAACTAATCAATAACATGAACATTTAGAGATTTTTCTATGTTTATAGTTGTGTTTTTGGTTTGTTCTGTAAACACTTGATTACATTTTTCATTTAATTTAGCAAGAAACATAATTTAGAGATTTTTTCAAACGACGTTTGAAGGATTAACCCTGATTTTCAGTCATGACAAATAAAATAAAACAACATTTGACCATTTTCTGAGAGGTTTTACACAAATGTTATCAAGATAGAATAAAATGGATGTGATTATTTACTCATATGTAAGTTTATTCATAAACTCTAATAATGAAGTTATCCTAATCATTTTTTATCATTTTATTTTAAGGTACAATTCACACTAATAACAAACCATTAACTGTGACTTTTAGCTCAATATACTCCATATCAGCTGCATATTAATAGTTATTAAGGTAGTAGTTGGTTTAGGTGTTGGGTAGTGAATAAACATTGCTTTAGTGTAAATGTAAAGGCACTTTAAGATGGAAAAGAGTGTAAAACAAACATCTATATAAAAAACTAATCAATAACATGAACATTTAGAGATTTTTTCTATGTTTATAGTTGTGTTTTTGGTTTGTTCTGTAAACTCCTGATTACATTTTTCATTTAATTTAGCGAGAAACATAATTTAGAGATTTTCAGACGTGTTTACATTCACTATAAGACGACATTTGAATGAATAACCCTGATTTTCAGTCATGACAAATAAAATAAAACAACATTTGACCATTTCCTGAGAGGTTTTCACAAATGTTATCAAGATAGAATAAAATGGATGTGATTATTTACTCATGCGTAAGTTTATTCATAAACTCTAATAATGAAGTTATCCTAATCATTTTTTATCATTTTATTTTAAGGTACAATTCACGCTATTAACAAACCATTAACTGTGACTTTTAGCTCAATAAACTCCATATCAGCTGCATATTAATAGTTATTAAGGTAGGAGTTGGTTCAGGTATTGGGTAGTGAATAAACATTGCTTTAGTGTAAATGTAAAGGCACTTTAAGATGGAAAAGAATGTAAAACAAACATCTATATAAAAAACTAATCAATAACATGAACATTCAGACAATTTATAGCTTTATAATTGTGTTTTTGCTTTGTTCTGTAAACTCTTGATTACGTTTTTCATTTTAATCTTAGTTAAAATGTGATTTAGAGATTTTTCAGACGTGTTTAAATTCACTTTAAGACGACATTTGGAGGATTAACCCTGATTTTCAGTCACAACAACAAAACATTTGACGATTTCCTGAGAAGTTTTAAGTGTTTGATTAATATGATCATTTTATTCAGACTCGAATGCGCCAATAAATGCAAATAATTGAGTGTTCAAGTTGTCTCTTAATTATCTTCATCTCTTTACTTTAAGGTACAATTCATGCTATCAACAGCTCAATATTCTCCTAGTTTTCTGCTTATTAACAGTTATAATAGTAGTTGGGTTTAGGTATTTGGTAGAATTAGAGATGTAGAATAAGATCATACTTTATAACTACTAATAAACCGACAGTATCTTAATAGTACACAGATAATCAGTCACTAGTTAAGAGAGAGAATTGGTACTTAAACTAAGTGTGCCTTTTTTAATGTCTGTGTGTATAATGCTGTGTGTTTGTGATCATCAGAGAGTGTACTCGGAGAAGTCTGCTTCTGAGGGATCGGAGGATGATGACTACGTGCCGTATGTTCCTGTCAAGATCAGAAAACAGCAGATGGTAAGAAAGTAGTCCTTATTCAAGTTCATGTTGAGGTTATTGCCATTGAGCTACATCTGTGGACATACAGTGGAACTAAAGGTTGCAGGCCCATGGTGCTACATAAATAAACACAATCATAAATATGAACACAACACTGAACCTAAGAGCTATTTTAAACCAATGCATAACTAACACACAGGAGTGGTAATCTAACTATAATACACATACTATAAATTCTTAACTAAACACACAACAATACAAGTAATTTAACATAACACAGAGTAATATTGTGCAAGATATTGTGTAAAATATTTATAGTTGAAGAAAACGAGTAGTACAACATGAACGTGTGGCACATTCACTGGTAAACATTGTTTTCCTTATTGAGTTCTCTTCTGGTAAGGAGTTTAAGTGTCTGGTGCATATGGAGAGAAGAGGGTTTCTACAGGTGGTTTGTCAAGCCCACTCACCTGTGTGAGGCACACTCAGAAATGCACAGTATTTTAAAGTTATTGTGTGTGAGGATGAGGGAAGAGAATCCTGGTTTTGGGCGCTGGGATTATGGGTAATATTTGTGTGTGTGATGTGCAGCTCCAGAAGGTGATGCGTCTGCGGGGTAAAGGCCTGACGGAGGAGGAGCAGAAGGACAGTGGTGGAGAACAGAAGGATGAGGATGAAGGTCTGGGTCCTCGATCTAATGTCAGCCTGCTGGACCAACATCAGCACCTCAAGGAGAAAGCAGAAGGTCTTTACGCTCTCGCCTGTGCTCAATTGCTTGTTTAATTTCTATGGTAGCAACTGTCAGAAACAAATGTACAACAGTATTACAAGAACCCATGTGTACATCAATAGCAAACTGAGTGTTCACTAAAAATGCTGAATTACTGAATTGTGCTATATGCATCATTTCACAGCATTGAGCGAACACAATTTTGACTAGACACTTTTAAAAATTTGATTTAAAAAACATATTTTTTAATTAGGCTGGCTTGTCAAAGCCAGACTACTGATATGCTATATAAACTTATTATTCTTCTTCTTCTGAGACTAAAAAACAAAACGCATCTCCTCCTAGAGCTTTCAAGCTATTACCACCAAACTCACACCAGACCTCCGAACTATTCTGACTCGGGTTGCTATATCTCCTCTGACTGATCCGACTTTCGGTTTTCCGAAAAACGTCCCGGGACTGTCGGAAAAATCCCATAGACTTAACATTGGACCAAACTTTGTGACCTCGTAACTCTGCGTCAGACTGTCGCACAGACTTCTAACAGGCTCATTTAACTCAGACTATCAAACTGCCAATGACTGATCACCTTTAAACTTTCTAGCCACGCCCTAGCAACCACTTTTGGACCCTAGAAACTGTCCCATAGACTTCCATTCAAAAGACTCTCATTGACTTAACATGGGATCAAACTTTGTGAGCTCATAACTCTGAATCAGACTGTCCTACAGACTAATGGCTGAGGTCATTTAACTCAGACTACCAAACTACCAATAACTGATGAGCTTTAAACTTTCTAGCCACACCCCTAACTACCACATACTGCACCCTAGCAACTGTCCCATAGACTTCCATTACAAAGTCTCTCATTGACTTTACATGGGATCAAACTTTGTAAGCTCATAACTCTCCATCAGACTGTCTTACAGACTAATGGCTGAGCTCATTTAACTCAGTCTAGCCAGCAGCCAATCACTGATGGCCTTTTAACTTTCTAGCCACACCCCTAACTACCACATACTGCACCCTAGCAACTGTCTCGTAGACTTCTATTCAAAAAACTCTTATTGACTTAACATGGGATCAAACTTTGTGAGCTCATAACTCTGCATCAGACTGTCCTACAGACTAATGACTGAGCTCATTTAACTCCAACTACCAATCTGCCAATAACTGATGAGCTTTTAACTTTCTAGCCACACCCCTAACTACCACATACTGCACCCTAGCAACTGGCCTATAGACTGTAATTAGCTGTGCTATCAAATGCTTATAATTCTAACATACTAATGACATGCCAATCATGCTAGCAACATGCTACTCATATGCTAATCATGCTAATGACATGCTAACTCATACTGGAAACATGCTAATGACATGCTAATTTGTACAAGAATCATGCTAGTAACATGCTAATTCATACTAGACTCATGTTAATAACTGGCCTACATGCATATCTTTGCTTAGCAGTGTCCTATTGACTTGGGGGATGGCTCATCTGACTCAGACAACCAATGAGCATGTCAATATGATAATGAAGCTCACAAGCCACGCCCCCAAATTGATTCCATAGACTTCCATTAAAATAGGCCAAGATGCATATCTTTGCATAGCAGTGTCATAGAGACATGGGGGTTGGTTCATTTGACTTAGACAGCCAACCACATTCAAGTGCACTCTGTAACCTTGCCCATAGCAACAAAACAGAGTACCCTAGCAACCATTCATCAACAGCTATATCTCAGCATCAGAACATCGTAGAGACTTGGCGATTGGCTCGTTTGACTCATGCTAGCAAACGGAACTTCCTAAATGCTACACATGCTAGCAGTGATTAGCTACATGCTAATATTGACTAGCCAAGTACTGTAACTTGCTAGAAATGCTTACTAAGTATAAATGTTTTATCAAGCATGTATGTGAGGTTTGCCTAGTAACCAACCAGGGGTACCCTAGCAACTGCCTAGCAACCACCCAAATTACCCTAGCAACCGCCTAGCAACCACCTAGCAACACCTTAGCAACCACCCAGCAAACACTTGGGACACCTTAACAACCGCCTAGCAACACCTTAGCAACCACCTAGCAACCACTCATAACACCCTAGCAACTGCCTAGCAACGCCTTAGCAACCACCTAGCAACCACTCAGGACACCCTAGCAACCACCTAGCAACACCTTAGCAACCACCTAGCAACCACTCAAAACACCCTAGCAACCGCCTAGCAACACCTTAGGAACCACCTAGCAACCACTTAGGACACCCTAGCAACCGTCTAGCAACACCTTAGCAACCACCTAGCAACACCTTAGCACATGCTAATTCATGCTAGAATCATGCTAACAACATGCTACTTCATGCTAGAAAAACACTAGTAACATGCTAATTTTACTACAATCATGCTAATAACACAGTAATTCATGCTAGAATTATGCTAGTAACATGCTAAATCGTGCTAGAATCATGCTAATAACATGCTAATCCATGCTAGAATCGTACTAATAAGATGCTAATTCATGCTAATAACTTGCTAATCTATGCTAGAATCATGCTAATAACATGCTACTTATACTTTTTCAAACTGTTTTTAAACTAAATAAACTATTACCAACAGGCTTTGTCAAGCCAGCCTCAAAGTTTGTCTCGACGAACTTTACTGTCTAGTTAATTTTATTATTATTCTTCTTCTGAGACTAAAATTCAAACTCTATCTACTCCTTGAACTTTCAAGCTATTACCACCAAACTCACACCAGACCTCCAAACTGGTCTGACTCGGTATGCCATATCTCCTCAGACTGATCCAACTTTCGGTTTTCCGAAAAACGTCCCGGGACTGTCGGAAAAATCCCATAGACTTAACATTGGACCAAACTTTGTGACCTCGTAACTCTGCGTCAGACTGTCGCACAGAACTCTAACTGAGCTCATTTAACTCAGACTATCAAACTGTCAATGACTGATCACCTTTAAACTTTCTAGCCACGCCCTAGCAACCACTTTTGGACCCTAGTAACTGTCCCATAGACTTCAATTCAAAAGACTCTCATTGACTTAACATGGGATCAAACTTTGTGAGTTCATAACTCTGAATCAGACTGTCCTACAGACTAATGGCTGAGCTCATTTAACTCAGACTACCATACTGCCAATAACTGATGAGCTTTTACCTTTCTAGCCACACCCCTAACTACCACATACTGCACCCTAGCAACTGTCCCATAGACTTCCATTACAAAGACTCTCATTGACTTTACATGGGATCAAACTTTGTGAGCTCATAACTCTCCATCAGACTGTCTTACAGACTAATGGCTGAGCTCATTTAACTCAGTCTAGCCAGCAGCCAATCACTGATGGCCTTTTAACTTTCTAGCCACACCCCTAACTACCACATACTGCACCCTAGCAACTGTCCCGTAAACTTCTTTTCAAAAAACTCTTATTGACTTAACATGGGATCAAACTTTGTGAGCTCATAACTCTGCATCAGACTGTCCTACAGACTAATGGCTGAGCTCATTTAACTCAGACTACCAAACTGCCAATAACTGATGAGCTTTTAACTTTCTAGCCACACCCCTAACTACCACATACTGCACCCTAGCAGCTGTCCCGTAGACTTCCATTACAAAAGACTCTCATTGACTTAACATGGGATCAAACTTTGTGAGCTCATAACTCTGCATCAGACTGTCCTACAGACTAATGGCTGAGCTCATTTAACTCAGTCTAGCCAGCAGCCAATCACTGATGGCCTTTTAACTTTCTAGCC